AGTGACTTGGACGATGGTAAAAATAGTAATGAGAATAAAAATATTTATCATTCTAAACCAGGTTGTGAAGGGAAAAGATTTTTATATGCAGGAGGAATTATTTTGAGTTTATCTATTTGTTATAGTACCTGTGTAATTGTATTTAAGCAGAATGATAAGTAAAAGATAGGTGATGATTCTTTACATGAAACATTTTCATGTAGTGAATCATATATAAAAGAAAATAACGAAGTGGCCTTTGAATTTAATTTTGAAAAAAATAATGAAGCTAAAGAGTAAATACATATTTTTGTATATATTAATTAAGCACTAAACCTTGAAAGCTAAACAGTAAACCTTAAATACTGAACTTTAATTCCTAAACTTGAACCTTAAACTATGAACACAGATAATAAGAAGTATGTTTATTTACTAAACCGTACAAATTAATTTAAAAGAAGAACAGTTAATGTGAAAAATTTTTCTGTCTAATAACATGTGTATAGAAATATGTATGCATTATATGATGAAAATATTTAGAATATTAATACGTTAAATATAAAAGGAAATTGCATCATAAATACTATTACTTGTAAAATTATATTATAATGATATGCTTCGTTAAATATGATAAAATTGTAATAATTAAATAAAAAAATATAAAACAACCATGATTTACAAGAATATTTATATTTAAGAAGCAATTTTTTCTGAAATATACGAATATAAATCTATAATATATTGAAAAGGATATTATTAATATAATGATAAGTGTTAATGCTTTCTAAATAGCCATATAATTAAGCTATTATTATTTGTCTATATAAGAAAAGTATTCATTTTTTCGTTAGTTGATAAATAATACATATAATTTTGATTAGAATTATGGAGTAATTTTTATAATTTTATTCCTAAACAATAATAAGTATGTTTTCCTTACATTATATCACTAATTTTGGGCACAATGTAATGTATATTAGGATGTGGCTAATTTAAAGTGCAAATGTATTAAATTGTGTATTTTATAATTAATTATTTAACTTATTCACGGATCTGTTATCAAATAAACCGAATACAATTATGTATTATATTGTTCTAAATAATACAATAAATAGTTAGTTAATCTATCATATGGATTACTTAAATTTCTTTAGAACAAGTAAATAAATTTCTATATAATATCTACTTATATGTGCTTTCAATAGTATAAGAGTTAATTCTAAGATAGCTATAGTGAAATATATATAAATGCAGAAATAAATTATACAAAAATTACGTTAGTGTTAAAGAAAAAAGGAAAAAATTTTGAAATATTTATGCATAATTTTCT